CCATTGGCATAGCATCGGATGACTGGTGAGGAACTACACATCTCTTCAACCATATGGCCAGAAAGCCAGCCAGCAGAGTAGTGGGGCGAATCGGAACACCAGCTTGAAACAAATAAGAGCGGAATTTAGTTCCGTGCGAAAACCCATCTTCTGAATGAGAAGTGTAAGATTGTGCGTTTGTTTTCTCCAACAGCCGATTGATGTCACCCGGGCTCAAAGGAGATAATCCACGTACCTCTTCTGATCGATCCTCCAGGTTCTTGAACAGATAATCGGCGAATTGCTTTAAGCTGACCTGGGGAGATTTCTTCCTAGCTTTGGTATCCATCTCAGCCATAGCTATATGATAATGACAAGTCAGCTCCCATAAAGTCTCGTGGGTCACAGATGACCGATCCTTCATCTTATTAAGCTGACTGGTGGTTGGGAAGAACTCTTGATATGGAACATCACCTATGGGTAAGCTAGACACCTTCATCATTTCGTGCAATGGTAACCCGAGCTCCCCGTTCTTGGTGAAGAACGTATTAGTGTCAGGATTATAAATCTCGAACAAACGGAGGAAATGACCTACATTAATTTGCAGACCATGCATGCTGGCACGGATCGGGACTTCCAACCCTAGTTCTGCTAACTCTCGCCCCCAACGGTTCAACACATATCGAGTCATTCTGGTCCACCATCATTTATCCCCAGAATAATGGACCCATCCATAACATCTGAAACTCTCGTGGGGTAATTTCTTCTTCATTGCAGCCAAACGATTCTTCACGGTGTTGGCCTGCGCTGTCTTTTCATTCTGAGGTATATTGTCTTGGCCTAAGACACCCGGATGAAGCCCTCGTATAGAAGCTCTTTCACTGGAACCTGGAGTAGCCTCTTTCCCGATGAAACCGCATTGAATATGTTCGTGATTTTCGGTTAACCTCCAGAACATTTCACGTCCAACCGATAAATTCCTAAACTTTAACAGTGAATGCTCTCGAGGGATAAAAGGCAAGTATAGGAATGACGAACCATCTTCGTGTAACCACTGCGCCGGCTTGCAGAAAGCAATCGCCAGATCCTTTATGGAGTCACCAAATAAGAAGTCTGGTTTCCTTATACATTGGTTTGAGTCCTGTTCTGAAATTAATGTTGCGTCCGTGATTAACCGTCGCAGAATATAGCAACTACCTCGTTGAATCAACTCTCGGGCCCCTTCGCTGTAATCTGACTTAAACTGAGGAGCAGACTCGATTAACGGTATCCCCTCATAATAAGAATGAGTGACACTACTCTGGCCCGTAACTGCATCGACGGTGAAGATTGTGGCAGGAAAATGGACTGATACAGGAGATACACATAAGCTGTGTAAGTATAGTCCTAAAATTTTAGAGAAAACGGTATATCTTACTCCATAAGATATAGTCGCTATCTCATAACAGGTGTGACGATTTTCCATCTACCATATGTATAAAGGAGATATGCGTTACTATGCACGGGCATTATAACGGCATACCAGAATCTTTCAATATATGTGGGATGATATGAAATCGCCCATGTGTATTATGAAGTGTGTTTTGTCCAAGCAAAACAAACACTTTTAAGCGTCGATCCCCTCAAAGGAGGATACCGGCTCTTCTCGAGGGTATCTCAAAGGATACAAACGAGGATCTGCATACAAACACAGGTATTGACGCATGAAATTGAAGAAATACAGTGTTTAAAATTGCGAAAGGATGAAAGAGATATACCCCTGTGTGAAGCCGCAACAGGACCCGCCTCTTCAGGGCTCTGAACAGTCGGACGACCTCGAGTTCCCCGAGCTCTACGCGGCGACATGATAAAAACACGAGCTACATTGAAACCCAAGGGGAAAGTTAGGGTTTTGAATGAGAAATTGAACAAAATACCACAAAATCTGGTTGAAACAGTGCATGCAAACGTGAAGGAGAAGAAAATCAAGATTTGAAAGAGAAGAGGGTCAACGAACCTTTGAAATCCGAGTTGATTATCCTCAAACAAAGGTACCACCTAAGTCAGCAGCAAAGAGGAGAAGAAGCAGAAGAAAACTGGTGGAAAATCGTTAAGAAATCACCAAGAATCACTCTAAAATCGACGTGAAAAACCCTAAAAAAGCCCAAGTCCGACTTATATACTCGCTGTCTCGCTGAGCGAGACAGCAAACTCTGTCTCGCTGAGCGAGACATCATAATCTGTCTCGCTGAGCGAGACAGCAAACACTGTCTCACAGTGTGAGACAGCAAACACGGTATCACACAAATGCAATACAGAGTGATACTCCAATGGGTACACGAGTCTAAACTGTATTCCTGCCCTCAACAGGAAGTTTCTGGAGAATATTAATCTGAATATTCTTAAGGATAACCTGACGAACTTTCGAGAGACAAACGAGCATCAATCTGGAAATACCAACTTCAATTCAAGGTCTCAACAACGGTCGAGCGATAAACGCAGTGCCGGAGAAGTATTAGCTATTCTACAAAGAACTGAATAGACTAGTGGATGAAGAGATCAAGAGCTGAAGCCATGTTACAGATTCTTCTACACGATCTACTCAACCAAGCATTGAAGGGATCGTAAGTAAAATCTATCTTATCCAAAGTATCCCAGACTCTTCTATAAAAGAATACGTCTGGAATACTTTGGAGGGGGTATCTGTAGGCGTCAAAAAATGCTAATAGATATCCCAAACATAGAGAAGATCACTCAAAAAATCACAAGAATTGATCTCATACTGTTTTTGGAAAATCAAGACAGGTATGAACTGTCTCGCCAGCGAGACAGACTTTGTTGTCTCATCAGCGAGACAGACTTTGCTGTCTCGCTAGCGAGATAGTATTTTACTGTCTTGCTAGTGAGACAGTGTTGAAATGGTCAAAAACCACCTCGATAACTGCCCTACACGTGTCCATTAACTGCCAAGGGACGTGGGAAACATCTTGAGCGAAAATCACGTGAATAACTACCAAAATAACGGAGTTTGAAACGTGGGAAGACAGTTAAAAAATGAAAGCATTTACTGTCTCGCGGGCCGAGACAGCAAACACTGTCTCGCAGCCATAACGTGTTGTTTTGTTTGAGTTTTGTGCAGTTATTACCCCAGAGGCTATAAATACCCCCTAGGGTCATTTCTGACGAGGATGGAGCATATTTTCGAGCAATCCAGAGCAGAGAGAGTAGATTTGAATTTTCGTGCAACTCCTTGAAATTGAGCTTCGACTTGATTTTAAGAAGAACGACTATCTTACTTTGATAAGATATCGTTTCAATTTCTACTTCGATAACGAAGTTAGAATCATAAGCCCCCTCTTCACGATCTGTGGTTCCCGGCACAGGCAAAGTCCCACAAAAACAAGAATCGATAGACGATTTTTGTGTTATTTTCTCAAGAATTATAATTTTTTTCTTTGTTGTGTAGAAAAGGTCTTATAAAAAGACTATTTCTTTGAATTTGTTGTAATCAAACGAAGATATAATGAATTCCTCAACAGAAACAACTTTTGCTGAAAACAACTATCCACCAAAGTTTCTATCCATTGATGATACTTAGAGATCTTCGTGCATCATATGAAGAGACTTTTCATCAATGGATAGAAACTTTGGTGGATGGTCCACTTAAGTTGACATAAGTTCTTCTCTCTCTCTCTCTCTCTCTCTCTATATATATATATATATATATATATTTTCCTTCAGCAGATTTCAATCACGTCTAATTGGTGATTTTAAAGGTAATGGAAAGAAATTTTTAGCCTTTGATTGCTACAAATTAATGAAATAGGAAGATATCGAATGGTGTGATTACTCACCCGGTAAAATTATTACAAGTTTTAGCTTAGAACTAGGTGGTAAAAAACTAGAACTCATATTTATTTTATTATTTATTATTTTTATTTTTTATATTTCTTTTATATATATATATATATATATTACTTCTTTCCTATTATGGTTATCACCAACATTATAATAATAATTGTTAATATCTTATAGTCTAACCAAAATAACAGTTATTTAATAGTAAAAAACATTCTTGTAAGCAATTATCAATCAATAATAGTAAGTTTAAAATACATAAATAGTATTTATATCTTTAAAATGCATAAATATATATTTCACGGTTATAAAAATTTATCCCACGTTATTTTATCAAAATATCCCGCTTCACAAAATTATTCCTATTTATCCCACTAAAATATCCCACCAGTGAACAATTATTTCACTTTAACAATTATCTCATTTTATATGAAAATGTCCCAATTGACTATCACCCCCTTAGCAGGATCCTGCCATCTAAGGTACCGTTTGGCAAAGGGTTAAGTGAGGGGTTAAGGAGACTTAACCCCTTCTTAACCTGCCAAACACAACAAATCTATATAAGGGTTAAATTGAGTTAACCCTCCATAATTTGCCAAACATAAAAAATATAGAAGAGTTAAGTTAATCCCTCTAGAGGGGTTAAAATGAGTTAACCCCTCAAAATGAGGGGTTTACTAATACTCCTATTTAGATGGAATAAGAGTTAACCCTTCTAATTATAAAGAAAATAGTCAAAATTATTGTTATTCTCAAACACTAAAACTGATCATAAGGGCTAAAATAAAACTTATTTAACAGGTTAATAATTTAGTCATTCGGATTATCAAATGGGCTAAGTATATTAACCCTTCTCTTTAACCCCTCTTCATTAACCCTTTGCCAAACGGGACCTAAGGGATTTAATGGCTTTTGGCCATTGGAGCAAAAGTCAGCATCTCCTCAGGAAGGATTATAACAACGGGAAATCATAGAGAGAAAAAAAAAACCAAATTCATACTCTGCTCGTAGTCCTGCTGGAGAATGATATAAATAAAGGGGGAAAAAAAAGAAGCAAATCCATCTTAGACCCAATTCAGCTCAAGGTATGATATTTTTCTTCACAAGTTAATTCCTAGCATTCTAAATCTTATAGAAGATGATGACCGCCGCTGGCGAAATTCGGTCGACGGCAGAGTCTGTTGTGTTTGAATCACTCGTGTTTTATTGAATAACAACGATGGCTTTATATAGCCTTTACAAGTACTAACAGAAAGCAAGGAAGCAACCCACTAAACAGATTGTGGTAACTGAAACATGAAAGTGTCAATAACAGAAAACCCGACAGAAAGGGTCAAAGTTGTAAACAACCTCCTAAACAATAGGACTTATTAAACTGAAACTGAAGACCTTATCAACACCATTTCTAGTATCATCAGGAAACCATAATACCCTTCAATCCTTCCCTTAAACTCACTGCAATTTGCAGTTAGTTAATATTAGGAGCTTCTCGAACTCCTAACAGCTCCCTCAACTTCAGAAAAGCATCAAACTTCAGACGTTTTGTCATCAAATCTGCAACCTGATCTTAACTTCCACAATGAACCAATGCAATTGTACCCTCCTTGGTAAGATTTCTGAAGGAATGGTACCTCACACGAATGTGTTTGCTGCGGCCATGCATAACCAGGTTCTTAGACAGCCTGATAGTTGAGTTGTTGACACATCTCACATCAGTACAACCTCCATCAGAATGCCAAACTCCCTCAAAATTCTCTTCACCCGAATAACTTGACAAGCACACACAACCGCAGCCACAAACTCTACCTCTGTGGTTGATAGAGTCACAATCGGCTGCTTTTTCGAACTCCATGAAATTGCACCTGAGCTTAGCAAAAATACATATCCACTTGTACTTTTCCTATCATCATCATCTCCGGCATAATCACTATTCGTATAGGTCAGTGGCTCATGACTTCCTCCTTTCTTGTAGTGGATTCCGAAATTCACAGTCCCTCTTAAGTAACGAAGTGCCCTCTTTGCTACTTGCAGATGAAGTTCTGTAGGTTTTGCCATGTACCTACTAATAAGACTAAGTGACAAACATCATGTCCGGTCTTGTGGCTGTGACATACATCAAACTCCCCACTAATTGCTTGAAGTGTGTCTCGTCAACTGCAATGCCACCTTCATCTTTGCTGATTTTGCAACCTGGAACTATCAGATTGTTGACTGAATTACTCTCCAACATCCCAAATCTCTTTATAACTTCAAGTGCGTATTTCCTTTGGCGTATGTAGATACCATTGGATCTCTGCAACACTTCAATGCCAAGAAAAAATCTCATCTCCCCAAGTCTGACATGTCCAACTCTCTCATCATGGAACTTTTGAATTCAGATATCATAACTTTATCATCACTAGTAAATATTAAATCATCAATATAAACACTTACAATGATGATGTTACCTTCCCTGCTCCTCTTAGTGAACAAAGTCTGCTCGCTATCACACCTTTGAAAGCCCATAGAGATGAAATGTGCTTCAATTTGGCTAAACAATCTCAGCTACCCTTAGTGAACAAAGTCTGCTCCTCTTAGTGAACAAAGTCTTCTCGACATACCCCAAACAATCTCAACTACTCTTCCTTCACTCATAGTTGGGTCTAAAGGTCTCAGATAGTCTTGTGTCACATACTCCTCAGATGTTGTTGGGTATGACATAGCCCATAAACACTTCAAACCCTATATCGTTGCCACCAAACACCACTGACATTGCTTTGAGCCACATGTTTATTGCGGTCGGTAGCACTTGCTTTGCCCTACAAGTAACGAGAAAAAGAAAAGACAATCATGCACTAGTCACAGAGGCAATACAAACACTCAGTAAATTAAAAAAACTTACTCCTTCCTTGCAATTCCTTGAATTATGTTCAAGTTTCTTGCACTTCTTGCGCCTTACAGTCCATCACCTTTTCTTTAACTTTGTAGCATTAATCTCTTCAGGATCCTTTCTCTTATTCTTGTTCCCTAAAACTTTACATTTCTCCATAAGCAGTAATGGCATCAACGGTTGTAATCCTAACAAAGTCTACCGTCCCATGCCTCTAGTTGGATGCAGTACAGGGGTATGTGCAGAAAAAGATTATCAAGGTTGAAAACTTCAAATTTCGGTTATATGAATTCAGTAAAAGTATGAAAAAAAGTTGGCAGGTTTAAGTGACTTCAGAGTTCAGGCTACAATTAAAAAGTTTGCATAATTGAAAGAAATAGCAAGGTAAAAAAAAAGAGTTCAGAGCATAATTCAAACTAGTTGAAACATGTGAACAAAAATAAGGATAACACATACATCCACTCATACACACGCCAACACACACCCACACAAAGAAAGCAAACCCCTTTATTTTTGAACTTAACAGACTAACTACGACCAATTGGAAAATTAACTAATGCAATTAGGTAATGTACATAATTACTGGGAAACAAAGCTCGTGCTACTGTAGAATTAGCATTGTATGTACAAAGCCTGCAAGAATAAATGAACAAGCAAAGATGTGCATGTGTATGTCTGTGATGCAGTATATACATTACTGGGGCATGCGATATGTTAATAAATTAGGAAATCTAAGATATGGCATGCGTGTCCACGAAGCAATATACAAACCACTGGCATGTTAATAAATAAACAAGCAAAAGTGTGTGTACGCGTGCGCGTGTGGTGCGTGCATGCTGATATCGGTGAGGGAGAAGTGAGAATAGCTCCAAGCTCTAAAACCTCTTGCTTAGAATATGTGCACCAGTCGCATCGCAAAACTCTTGCACCTCCATAGAACAACTTTCTTCTCATGCTTCAAAGTAATCAGCTTGTGACCAAACTCTTTCAGTGAGATCTGTACGAGGTTTTTTCTTGGTTTCGACTGAGCACAATTCAAGTAGATAAAAGCATAACATGTACAAGAGATGAAGGTGCATGTTTATATGGAAAAACTTCTTAAAATCAAAAAAACCGGTTAGGAAAAATCAACAAAATAACTTTAAGATATGGCATGCGTGTCCACGAAGTACTATACGAACTACTGGCATGTTAATAAATAAACAAGCAAAGTGTGCGTATGCATGCGCGCGTGGTGCGTGTGCGTGTGTGCGCGTGCTCGAGTGTGTGATTACCTGATGTGCGCGTGTGTGATTACCTGATGTGTGCATGATACGAACCGCTGAAGAGCGCTCTAGATGTGGGCTTGGGAACTGGGGGGAAAATGTTCCACAGTCTCAGCGTTGAGTCGATGCCCCCCGAAGCCGATGCAACCGTGGTGCCATCTGGGCTCAAAGCTAAGTATGGGGCGACGTGACCCACAAGCTCTCCTGTCCTAACACAGGATGGGTAGTCCCAGAGAGTCATGTGATCCTGATCGGTACTTCTGCACGAGCTCAAAAACTGCTCGCTGTTCTTGCTCCACATCAGAGCACAGACTCGGGTGCTGCCGGTCTTCACCGACCTCACACAAGCACCGGTTTGCGTGCTCCAGAACCTGATCGATCCGTTGCTCTTGCCGTCCCCTCCAACACCTCCCCCTGTGGCCAGCAAGCAACCCTTGAAAGGGCACCAGTCAAGGGCCCTGACAGAAGCATCTCTAGCAGCAACCTTGAAACGAAAAGCCCACTGATTCTGATTGCGAGCATCCCATACATGAACCAGGCCGTCGCTGCCTCCGCTCGCTAGTTGCTTGGAGCTTGCGTGACCAGGAGACCATTTGAGCCCGCAAATGTCGCCGGGCCCGTGTCCTCGGTAGCTTTGAACAACGTGGGCTGCAGACGGCATCCTGGGATCGCTGTTGACAACTCTGCCGTCTGAGCCTCCTGAGGTCAGTATGTTGTCACATTTCCAAGCTAGAGACCCGACTCGAGATGATCTGCAGTGCACATTTCTCAAAGTCCTCGTCGGGCACTTTCGTTCGACGTCCCATATGTAAATCAGCGAATCGTGCATTCCAACGGCGAGGTGGCGGCCGTCGGGAGCCCAGCTGAGGCTCGAAATTGAACTGCCCATGTAGTCGAAGACGATCTCATGAGCGGAGGTGCCAGGGTTCAGAGAGTGCACGACGTCGTCGAGGACGATCGCCAGGTTGCGGCTAGGGCTCCAATCGAGGAGGTTTAGATGATCGCCGTCCTGGAGACCAGGCGCGTCGAGAATCTGACCGGCACTGATGATACTTTCCACTGGTTCTTTCTCTCTGCGACATCTTTTCCTCTGCTTGTTGGCGGCATTGCCGCCATCGTCGTTGATGCTAAGAAAGAGATCGTCAAGAATCTGCCGATAGCGCCCCCATCTCGAAGGCGCGGTGGAGCTCGCCGGCGTGATGGGGAAATCAAGAACAGGTAGTTCCCTGTCCCTGCGTCTCCCCGGATGGCGGCGTCGACGATCAAAAAGATCCATCCTTTTCCGGATTAGGGTTAGGGTTTGGGCGGTGGCGGGAACTTTTTTCAAGGAAAAAGAGAGAATCAGTCAGTACGAGATATTGAGTTGAGGGGAGAATCAAAGGAGTTAACTTTCGAATTCGAGAGAGCGAGAGTGAGCTAGGGTTTGCGAATTCAGCAGCTATATCAAGAATTTGAGACGGAGAGAAAGAGAGATTTGAGATTAGCGTTAGGTTTAAGCTAAGATTTTAAAATAGAACGCGGGGGGTCTGTTCGCTGACGCTGCTAAGGTCGGTGGCGGCGGGTACGATCCGGGTCGGACCGGGTTAATTTCTTGCGCCCGTTCCGTATGATACCGCTTCCTTGAGCCCTGTTATCTCTTAAGGCTTCATTACACGAAGAAGCCCAAAAAATCTCCAAACTCACACATAAACACCCAAGCTTTAAAACCCTAGAGATAAAAGATCCCACACTATTATTACAAACTCTCCCTTTGCCCAAATTATCGCTACATTAGATCTCAAACCGCTTATAGTAAACTTAACCATTCCAAATTTTATATAGAAAATAAAAGAAAAGAAAAAAAAAAGGAAAAATTATCTATATATCCCTCACATTTCTATTGGGGTATATAACACCCTTCAAACTTTTTGGCACCCCTAGGAAGTTGTTATTATAATAGTATAGAAGTACTTATATTCATTCATGTGTAGTAATTTAAATTAGATAAGAACCTTATATTTTATATTTATATGTCTTACAAAACATATTGTGGTAGATTTTTAACTAGTAAGCTCTAATTTCATATTCATGTTATAGTTTAAAATATTGTTCTAGAAAAAGAAAAGAGAAAGGGAAGGAAAAAAAGAAGGTAGAATTACCTATATACCCATCACATTTCTATTAGAATGTAAAATGTCCTTCAAACTTTTTGATACCCCCACTAAGTTTTTTATATAGTAATATAGATAGATGCAATACACAACTTTTAATTTCCTTGATTACAGTTATATCACCCACCAAATTATCTGTATTTGTAAATTTATCCTCCAAGTTATCTATATTGTAAATTTATTTATATGTATTTGGTTAGTTTCTATTTGTTAATGAAAAAATTACTAAAATTATTTTTTTACTATTAAATGAGATTATCAAATTTCATTGAATAGCTGGACGAATAATAGTCGAACAGTTTGTTATTGGTTCAATTCTACGCCTAGCAATTACTATCTATGCTTTGAAGGTTTTTTCACATAACCTCATAAATTTTGGGTGTCTACCAAAACCCGGATGGACTTAACCTTTTCTCACCGGACCCCTACCCGTACATTACAAGTAATTAAGATGTTTTTGAGCGGAAAAGCTCATAATATATCATTTGTCATTTGTAAGCAACATAAAATCTCCTCTAGGTTTTAAATTTTTCTCTCAAATAAAAATTCTATTTATTTGCAAATCATGTGCAGGGGTCCTATGAGAAAATTTCAAAGTTCACGGGGGTTATCGCTGCAACTTAAAGTTCAGGGGGCCATGCGAGATAAACAAAGTTTAAGGTGCTTTGTGAAAAGACTCCCACTCTCAGGCGGTCTCGTGAAATTGACCCGATGAAAACCGGTTCCACCTCCGGTTCACCCTCAGAAAAGGGGAGAGAAAAGCTTCAGTAAATTTCCTCTCCCTCTCTCTCTCTCTCTCTCTTCCCCCGATGGCGTCCAAAGTCCTCATGGTGATCTCTCTCTCTCTCTCTCTCTCTCTCTCTCTCTCTCATGGCGCCCAAAGCCCAGAGTTTTCAATTTTATTCCCTGATTTTTTTATTTTTTTTATTTTTGCAGGTGGCGGAAAAACCTAGCATCGCTCTCTCCATTGCATCTGCGCTCTCTCGAGGCCGGGTCGGTCTTATTTTTTTTCTTAATTTTTTCTTTACTAGGTTTTTTGATGTATAATGAGCTATTTTGTTGGTTAATCTCACTATTACAGGCGCCGACTTAATATTACAAATTTACCCAAACGTGGTAACTTTTTTAGCAACTGAAATTGTTTGTTCATTTTGAGATGGTTACTATTACTAGGCAGATCATTTTTCTGTCTCTGTCTTTATAGTCTTGCCATCAATTAAAACAGTGAATATTGAGAACTGCATATGTTTTGGATAACAATAACTGGTCTATACGCTATGTTGCATCAATCAATAATCGGCGATTATGGCAGTATTACCATATTCTTTGTTGTCGTATATTATAAAATATAAACCAAATCCTTACATTATAGGATTCTAGGAATCTGGTAGAAAACTTCGTATGCAACCGCTAGGGGCTGCTTTTTTGATCGCTATTGCCATTCTTCACAACATTTTTGTGATCCATAATGAACTTAACTGAAACTAAACCAAAACAATTGGGTCATTCAAAAAAAAAATTTATATTTGTAATCACCTCAGTTACCGTTTGTGCATTCCCTTTGCCCATGGTCTTTAACTGCCTATGTTAAGAGCACCCCGTGTTTTATAAGACTATTTGGCATTGTCATCGGGAAAGCAATTACAGAAGAAGAATGATAAACAGAGGAAAATAAGGCAGGTAACTGATAAAGAAATTAGTAGATGGGTATTCATTTGTTATTTAATTTAGTTGACACCATTTTTATAAGCTTGCAGCTAATGTGAGAAAAGTCCCTGCCCAGGCATCTGCTTCATAATTGCAAATTTTTGTAAATCTTTCTTCCGCCAGCTTGTGATGGTAGAGCCTCTATGTATAGAACTGTATTAGTATGCTTCAACATGCGAACCTTTTTGTATACAGATTCATGTTCACCAAAATATGTCAGATGTACCTTTCCTTTTGGTTAAAATTTACTTGTATGACGTGGTGTGCTCTAGAACCTTTCACCCTGCTTGTGGGATGCCTTAAAATGACCTCTTCCTTTTGTAATATGTTCTATCTACTTTATTTTTCCTACCCTGCTTGTGGGATGCCTTAAAATGACCTCTTCCTTTTGTAATATGTTCTATCTACTTTATTTTTCCTTGGATATTCTTCTTTTAGTTGTAATATGTTCTATCTACTTTATTTTTCCTTGGATATTCTTCTTTTATAGAGTTATTTGTGTATTTTTAAACCTGTCAGATCCTGAACATTTTGGTGATCCCAATATATTTGTGTGATAGAACCATTTTATAGTTGTATTTTCAGAATTAAGTCGAGGATTAACTACTCTTTCTTCTGTTTTTGTCTTCTTTGTTTATCTATATAAATTTTGTTTTTATGCTTATGTTGCTTTCTTTTGTCCTTTTCCTTCTGCTCAGAGAGGAGAGCCGTTTGCTTTCCTTCCTTTCTTCTCCCTTTCCTTCTGTTTCGGGGAGGACTCCTTGTATAGATCTTGGTAACGTAGGGAGAAATTTAATATTCTGCAAGTGCCAATCACTTTCTTTTAAATTTTGTTACTTGCATGAGAGAATAATTTACACTTATAGATGGCTAATACTTGTTTACAAGAAAACACTTGCTTAACCCTCTGTAATGTTTTTTTGCTAATTTTTTTCTCCTCCCTGATGTGCGCTTATGTCATGTTTGTATATGTATGTGCAACTTTCTTTATGATTAAGTACCTCTATTCTCAGAAAAAAGATCATGATGGTTTTGCTCTTTCAATTAAGCCTCAGTTTATAACTAAGAATCATGTGTCCTCTCTTGGTAACTTTTAGACTCTCTAGAAATAGCTAGTCTCCACAGCACTGGGAGAGAAATCTATCTGTTATGTTTCTTTTTTTTTTACCTTAGTCATGTCTTATTCAATATTTGTTCATCAAAATATTAGACATCCCCATGTTTGAGTAATTTGTATTGATGGCACTAAATATGTTGCTTTAACCTGGAAAAACCAAATCAATTCCACCCTATTTCATTATACCCATTTACCTCCCTCCATCCTTCATCCTTCCTTTTGTGTGCGTGCACGCACCTGTGCAGACTAGCATATACACTCCAAAATAATGAATTCCTGGGAGTCTGCCATCATTTTAGCGGTTCACATGTCTGCCACACATTGGGGTGCATAAGTTACTTCAATTTGTTTCTAGGGCAGCTTTTCGTACAACGCTAGTTTTATTATCAGCCTGTACGATTTTGTGTTGCCACATGGTTTACGTAATATGAATTGAGAAAACGATTGCAATCCTGTTTCATATTTCATGACTTGAATCTATACGTTCTTTGATTTGAAAATCCTGTTTCATATTTCATGACTTGAATCTATACGTTCTTTGATTTGAAGAAAAGTTTATTCATAGTTAAATTCATGGAAAAAAAGTTATCATGGCTGATGTATTTTGGTTATTATTTTGTTTTGTATGAAACAATTGTTACAAGTGATAAGTAGTTGATTTTTTTTTAAGTGCATGTAACTGCAACATTCTATATTTTAACTGCTTTAAGATCACATCCATGATATTAATGTGCTTGGAAAGTTCGATGTTATCTGGGGGGTAATAGTGAAATATGTCATCCATGGTGTCAATTGAGTCATTACAACAGGAGAAACTGAGAACTTCAGTAACTTTACTTAAAAGACCTGGTTGATGTTCACATTTTGGTATATAGCATCACATAGTGATAAAATAGCAACAACAATGTCAATAGTAACAAAGTATTTGCTCCCAATCTTTTGGGACTATTTTGTTGTAGATATTTGACCATTTTTGTGCTGGCTGTTGGTTACCTAGTGGAAGTTCATCCTTTTTTTAGGCTTGGTGGAGGTCCTTAATCTGGGACCTAATTGGCCAGAAATCCTTAGCTTCTTTTCTCTTCTTTTCTTTTTAGTTAGCTAAATCACACGTGCATAACTTACTTGACAAGAAGTGCTTGTTTGGTTACTTTCCAAATAAAAATAGAATAGGAATCCAATATAAATCCTGTCTTCCAAGCCTTCAAGGGTGTTTTCTGGAAAAGGTTTTTTTTCCTCTTTGTTTTGCATAAAAAATGGAAAATGGAATTCTCTACCAGCACAATTCCCTCCTTTGGATAAAAAACTTGAAAAACAGAAAAGAAAAGGCAGAAAGCTCTAAAAACTTTCCAAATCTTCAAGTCAAACACATTCACTCAATTTATTATTATTTTTCTATGTACTTGCTGCCCAATTCCTTCTTAAAAACTCGGAATTGGCTTTTCCATTTTTTGATGACGTTTTCTGATATGTTTGGAAAGGTTTCTAGAAAGTTTTTCAGAGTACCAAACAACGGAATAGGAATTCTATTTTCTAAATCTGACATAGGAAGACGGTGTCAGTAGGTTTCCATGCATTTTCCACACTTCTTCTTTGAGCCAAACAGGCCTGAAATAGAAACCATAACAGTGTAATTTCAAGAAAATTAATAAAAAAAATTTATAAGATAATAAGTAATATTAACAACCATATTTAAAATAAAAAAGAAGAAATTATCACTTTATTGGAATAGTGGATATAGATCAATATTGGCACAATGTTAGTTCTATATAATTTTGGTTTATTTGTTGATTTAAATATTAACATATTAGCCTTTATTTAGTTATTTAATAATAAGTTGAAAGTTGAGTTTTTTTGCTACTCTAATTTTTTATCTTTATTTTCTCTATTATATATTATTCAAGTACAGTTCAACTGAATGCAAAAAGATTTCAATTAATTTATATAAAGACAAATTTTCAAAAGAGCCCTATTTGCAAATTTATTCCCAAAAAACGACCACTTTCAACTTTATTTGTCAAAACCGACCTGGTTTCAGCTCCGGGACTAAACCAGATTGGTTTTAGCGAAAAAGTTCCCAAACTTCACGGGACTTCAAGTCGCGTGAAGTTTAGCAGTCATTTTGTTAAGCTGCTAAACTTCACGGGACTTCAAATCCCGTGAAGTTTCAGAGTTCAAAAAACTTCACGGGACTTGAAGTCCCGTGAAGTTTCAGGCTCATTTTCTAGAAAAGCATGGCTCTGAAAAATGAGAACTGCAATTCCACGGGACTTTAAGTCCCGTGGAGTTTTCGCTCTGCCTATATAAGGCAAAAGAGATCTCGACCCATAACCCTAGCCCCTCTCCTCCACGGGACTTGAAGGCCACGTGATGACGACGATGGAGCCGGCACTTTGCATGCTGATAGAGTGAGTACTTCTCAGCTTCATACATAACCAGATACTCAGATAATCGAGACTCATCAGGAACGCAGGGGGCAGGGAAGAGCGAGGGGAAGGGGGAAGAGAGGGAGAGGAAGAAGAGGAGGAATTTTGTGTTGTATGTGATCTTATTTTGTTAAAATTTAAAATTTTTATGATTTTTCAAATACTATACTTTTCTGGATCAATTATTGTTTATATATGTGATCTTCGTGAATATTGTTTGATTCGTGTTTAATTCATTGTTGAATTTTAAGAATAATGTTGTAATTCAGTGTATATGAGATTGATTATTGTTCACAGGTGTATTTTCGTGATTATTATTTGATTCAGTGTATATTGTTTGATTCATGTAAATCGATTGATTCATGGCGAAAATTTCATATATATTTGTTATGTAATGCTTTAGGAGTTACGTTGCGTATATAAAAAACATGCACAGCCTACTGTGCATGTTTTTTAAAACCTGCAACTTCATGGGACTTCAAGTCCCGTGAAGTTGCAGGTTGAATTTCCAGAGCGTGGAAATTCAGCTCAAACTTCACGGGACTTAAAGTCCCGTGATGTTTTTTTACCTTTGAAACTTCACAGGACTTGAAGTCCCGTGAAGTTTTTTGAACTTTAAAACTTCACGGGACTTCAAGTACCGTGAAGTTTAGCAGCTTAACAAAATGGCTGCTAAACTTCACGGGACTTGAAGTCCCGTAAAGTTTGAGAACTTTTTTCGTCAAAACCGACCTGGTTTTAGCACTGGGGCTGAAACCAGGTCGGTTTTGACAAATAAAGTTGAAAGGGATCGTTTTTGGAAATAAGTTTGCAAATAGGGCTCTTTTAAAAATTTGTCCTTTATATAACTTTTCTACTACTAACCTTGACCATTACAACTATTATCTAATTTTTGTAATTTAATATTTAATTTCAATAGAAGTGTTTTGGTGTTTTAAATCAATCAATCTTTTGTTTTTATAATCTCTATTATTGAAATGTTTTATATGTATTTTGGTTTTAAATTTCAATTGTTTGTAGGCTTGATTGTTAAAGGACTCATAGGTTTTATTTATATTTAGGGGGTGTTTGGTTTAATTTCTACAAATTATAGAAAATGTTTTCCACCCAAAATATGATTTCCTTGTATTTCTTAAAAAAATTATAGGAAAAGTTTTGAGAAGTCAAAAAGTACCAATTTTTTTTATTTTTTTTACTTTGCTTGTTTGGTTCAAAACAAGAAAATGATCCATAACTTTATAGAAATCAGCAAGATGTCTTATAATTTGTAGAAACTGTACCGAACAACCCCTAAATTTATAAAAAAGTGTCAACTTTATAGAAAAATGTCAATGTGGTGTCAGATTTTTAGGTGATTTCCGCCAATTTTGAGAGGAAATTGATTTCTGTAAATTTTGATAATTTTTTTACTTTACAGAAAATATTTCTGTAATTTTTTTTTGAACCAAAAACAATTTACAAAAATCTACAGAAAATTTTTACAGAATTGCGATTTTCAGACACTAGTATGCAATACGTGCGTTGCACGTGATGCATATTAAGAAACTATAAGAGTCAAAATCCACAGTGTTTCCATAATTATGCATTGAACTTATACACAATACACAAGATGAATGCCAATTAACCATTATCTCACAAGACTTGGGATATTGTCCATAGAGAAGGAACCTAATCAACCATATATAATGTGTGTGATAAAAGTGACTGCACAATCAAGAAGAGGTAAGTTGATATTAACTGCAAATAATTAATATTCAGCATCACATTACAAACCAGCAAAGTATTCAATTAGCATGACGATATACATAACGATATACATACAATGAGAGTAAAAAAGAGTCAACATGATAGATTGAAAACATAGCTTTATTATACACTTTTTACAATGAGGTGTCTGAAATATCGGTTTATTGGATTTGAGGCATAAATATCTGCGTTTCCCTCTTTTGCAGGCATAGAAGCTGAAATCCCCGCATCAAGTCCAGCTCTGTATTGCTCAACAAGAGCTGGATCATTTGGCAATGAGATTGAACTATGCCCAAAATAGTATGGCATCCCATGCCCTACTCTATCCTTCCACTTTCGATACTCCAAGACCCAAGTGTCACATGACCCAAGATTAATATACATTTTACCAACAGGAGTCATTTCCTTCATTAGGATTTCATTTTGAGATGAAAGGAATCTCATGTCTTGTTCCTGGACCATGCATATATTTTGATGGAAGAACCATTTAGGGAGAAACTTCATAACTGGGTCCATCAATTAGCTGACCTTCAGATAGTTTTGCTAATCTACAGAAAAATTTAATATAATCAAGGGCTATGGTTACAATTATAGCTATAACATGCTACAATGGCTGTATTGGAAAAGCACATAAGAATCAGATGGATGAAATAAATTGAACGCCGAACAAAAACCGCATCAATAACCAGTAATAACAGAACAAAACATGCAGCCTCCCTGAAAAATGGCGTAGCTCTCCAGTTTTTGGACACTATTGTTGTATACTAATACAAGTCAATGCTCTTTTTTGTCTCAATATGCTAGAAGCTTAATTGCAAAGGTAGAAAAGGAACTGATTGATGCTTCCTCAAAAATTCAGGCAAAGAGGGGGGAAAAAAATGGGATTGTCTCGGATCAATGGTCTTACAAAGGGGTCAAAAATCTTGAGATAGATAAAGGTATCCATTGCTGAGAACCATAGTTATTACTATCTTACTCCGGCGTGTGATGCCTTGAATTGAAACTAAAATTTACGAAGTAGGCCTTGATGGTACCCTTGCGCTCGCATGGTGTTCACAAATTCATAAAGGTAAGACCATATTATCTTCTGCATTCATCTCCATCTGTTACTCTATTGATCCTCTTAACATAGGTTACCACTATATGTTTTTCTATACCTTGTTTGTATCGAATTTTTTTTTGTTTCATGCAAATTCATCGGGTATTTGAAGTTGTAGAAACTCTAGATGCTTCAAGTTTCTGGAATTGTTGTTTTCATGTGATGTATGTAATTAACATAAACAACTTCTGACTAATTTGTAGAGCTCAGTAATGAACGCATTTTTTAAGATCCAGAGTTGCAAAGCAGAAGAAGCTACACCTATGCAATTAGTATAACACAAATAGACTATTATTTTAACATTAATCCCATTTTTCAATCCCAGACAGATAATGCACTTCTGAAAGGTTTTCTTCTCGGATTTGTACGATGAATTTGTTGGCGTTGGAATGGAGGAACTAATGGAAATTTCCAATGAGCTGAACATAAAGAGAACAAATCACAGTAATTCCTAAATAACCAATCTCTTTCACATTGTAAACTTCACTAAAAGATGAACGGTAACTGGAGGAATGTACCTTATTGCAATTGGGTATAAGCTCTTGAAGTGCACGCATGCTCTCATTGATCCTATCTCTTCCCCTCTATTCACAATTGTACAGATGAAATCAGTCAAGGCATAATTTCAAAACAGATACAAGTTGAAAAGGTTTTAAAAAATGAGTAATGTGCTAACTTTTTCTGATAAATTATGTATTTTCGCAGCACGACTTCACTTTTTGCTCTTGCCTTAAACAGGAAGGGATTGGTTACTGATTTGAGAGCACATTCATATTTGCACATCAACTAAATTTATAAACAATCCATAATTTATTTTAAAAAATAATGATTGCAATCGTACCTTCCATCTTAGTATCAAAATTTATAAACAATCCATAATTTATTTTAAAAAATAATGATTGCAATCGTACCTTCCATCTTAGTATCAAGTAATACTTTCTTTGAATTTTGAATGTTAAAAAATAATGATTGCAATCGTACCTTCCATCTTAGTATCAAGTAATACTTTCTTTGAATTTTGAATGCTTTACCTTCTGAGAAAATTTTATGGTTGTAATATTTTCATTGCAAACGAAAAGTTCCCTCATGATTCAATGATTTTGTGTGACAATTAAATACATGAACATGTGCAACTTCATACTATTATGATTCGTCATGCATATTCTGATTTTATAAAAAATCTAGGTATAATAGGCACCCAAAAGCTCATTACATTAATATAAATATCTGGAAAACCAGTACAAATTTTCTAGAGTATATTTATGTCCTTCATTATTTTAAATTTGGATGTCAGGTAACTCAGACTATAATCTAACGCTTTTTTCTAATCAAGAATTATCTGTCGATGATAAAAGAAAGCACATTAATTTGAATGACTACTTATAGAGTCTTCAAGTGAACAACTTTACTAATTTTCAGCATCGCTGTCCCTTCAAGAAGTAATACTTTTAGGCTATAAGAACGTTGAGATTATCATACTTTCAAAAAAGAAAGAAAGAAAAAAACAATGAACAAAATACCAGAATGAATACTACAACTATACATCAAGTTGGATGTATAAGTTGCTACATGCGAGACATGAAAAGCTCATTATCTTTCGCAAAGTATGAAAATATCATAAGCTGAATGTAAGAAGATATAATCTTAACTTACTGAAAATTGCATTTCTAAAGAATAATAACTATTAGTCCATGGCATGCACTTGATAATGGGAATACATAAACTTGCAATTAGTATGCATTCCTTTTTACTTTATGTTCTACATTTATTTTTATTAAAGGTTTATGTGAGACAAGGGTAAATCAAGTGAACTGATGAATCCCAGTTTCTATAGAAATGACCTTAGATCTGAGCTCACGAGAGCAAAGATTGACCTGAAGTAAATACGCTTGTTTCCGAAGTCCTAGAATTTAAAGTGCCTCAATCATGTCTTCTCACAGACCTTGATACCGTTAATAAAGCATATCCTGTGACAGCAAAAGATGATGTAGTTAGGGGGACACAACCAATGATAGAAAATGAATGGGTAACATGCAAATTCTAATAACAGTGATTTATGAACTCTATATTATGCACAGTTTCTAGAAAATGAATGGGTAACATGCAAATTCTAATAACAGTGATTTATGAACTCTATATTATGCACAGTTTCTTATTGATTTTTCTCCATCTTAATGATTCTAATAACAGTGATTTATGAACTCTATATTATGCACAGTTTCTTATTGATTTTTCTCCATCTTAATGGCTATGGACTATCCAACAATGCACATGTCAAAGACAGATTATTGGTGAACATGGAGATGGCTTCGTATAGATGGACAACCTTCATGTCACGAGCAGACAAAACTATACCCTAAAGTAGTATGCACGTGTTGTTTGATGCTCAAATGGATGCTTAAAATATCAAGTGCTAATATTATAAATGAGGCAAACAATAAACAAGTAAACATTTGCAAAGATATTGTTACTGGGCATAAGATACATGGCAGCATGAGAGTAAATTGCATGAAAGAAATGCTGACTACTTTCACAAGTAGATGTTTACTAACAAAAATAACCAGATACAAGCCCTGAATATATTCAGCTCATGGAAGGTCTTTGAGAAGAGGAGATATAGTAGATGTGACTGCAAACAATCGGACATGCATGCATATACACATACATGTGAAACAATTTCGTATTGAGTTTTCTCGATCTCAATGACTATGGAATATCCAACAATGCACAGGTCAAAGTCAGATTATTGGTGAACATGGAGATGACTTTTTATAGGTGGACAGCCTTCACGTCATGAGCAGACAAAACTATACCCTAAAGTAGTATGCACTTATTGTTTGATGCTCAAAAGGGCCTTCACGTCATGAGCAGACAAAACTATACCCTAAAGTAGTATGCACTTATTGTTTGATGCTCAAAAGGGTGCTTAAAAATATCAAGTGCTAATATTAACCCTAAAGTAGTATGCACTTATTGTTTGATGCTCAAAAGGGTGCTTAAAAATATCAAGTGCTAATATTAAAAATGGCCTAAAATACTGTCAGTTTCATATTATAATTTTGAGGTAAATGAAAGTTACAAAGTCATGAACTTGTGAGTGACGGATAATATACAGACATGAATATCATGTCCACATACACGATGGACATCCAAAATTTTCTTTGAAATGGTCCTATTTATCTATAGAGTTTAATTAGAAAACTTCTTGTCGATGGACATCCAAAATTTTCTTTGAAATGGTCCTATTTATCTATAGAGTTTAATTAGAAAACTTCTTGTTAATTATTTTAGACAACCATTGGTGAAATGGTCCTATTTATCTATAGAGTTTAATTAGAAAACTTCTTGTTAATTATTTTAGACAACCATTGGTATCTTTCTTCAACCATCTCTAAGTTGTTTGCTTTAGTTGTTATTTGGCTGTTAAAAGTTATCTAATAATAAAAAATCCAATGACTTTCCTACGCATCAAGTCAATTTATAGCCTTATAGGTCTAACAATTTATATGTATGTTACTATTATGATTGCTTTGACATTGTAATACCCTATGACAGGAATGCTATTGGTTCTACTCTCGCCTGATTGTTCTAAATATAAATGCCTTAAGTAAGTAACATCAACATAAATATGAGTATGAACATATTCTAAATATAAATGATCCACATCCCTCCTATAATAGTACATAATAGTACAGACTCTCATAGTAATGACATATTTTAGTTCATTCATTTACTCATATAATCTCACTAAATGAGTCATTTTTATTGTTACAATTCCCGTTTTAAAATGCTTTTACTCTTAAGAAAAAAACTCTCTTTTGAATTTCATATGTTCTAAAGAGAATTGAGAACAGATAGAAAGTATGAACTAATGAAGATATGAAAATATATAATTCAAAGAAGGCATAATTAGGTTAAGAAAGGATGAGATCAATTCAAGTAATTAATAGTAGTAAACAGCTATTTATTTTACATTAATTTACAGAAGGTTTTCTGCTTTGATGATATCTGGTGAAGCTGTTGTAAGTACAAACTATATAAAGCATTATTTTTGTAAAGGAAATGTACCTTATTTTCCTTGTAGTTGTTGGTTGTTTTTAATCTTTAGACCTAGATTTATACCTAGATAAAAAAAATTAAAAGTTAGTAGTATATTTTATGCATTTGTTCAAGGTATCAATTGTTCAATTTTATATTGAAGACCTACAAAAGGTCATAACATTTCATCCTTAAAGAAACCTTGTGAAGCTCTAAAGATGAACTAATAACTTTGTAAACCATATCTTATCATAATCGTAATCATAAATCATAAATCATATAAATGGCTAAAATTGAAGTATCATTAATACTTCACACAAATCCATGTCATTCATAAACCTGATGGAAATATAAAGAGGAAAACATAAGTTTTTTCACATAACTTAAGCTAATTAAAACAACTAAAATTTATAAAAGTTTCCAACAATATGATTAACAAAGTCGTAGACCTTGATTTATTTTATTGACTCGACATTTATTTTTCTAATACTTGTCTCAACTCATTTTTTCGTCTCCTGACGAAATTTCTATATAGCTGCTAGAATTTCCATAGCTTTAGCAAACAATTTATCTGCTTATTCTTCATCTTTGATTTTAGCGGCAAAAGGAACATTAACTTCAGGAGTAGCAGGAGCATCTTCGCTAGGTACATAATCAGTATCTGAATTTTCAACCTTCACTTTTTTGTTAACTTCAAAAGAGCTCTCCTCATCATCATCATCATAATACTTTTCAATGGAAGGTTCTTCTTCATAATCATTTGATGAAATTTCTATAATTTCCTTGTCATTAACAAACTTTTTAAATTCATATTGTTTAGGAACTGATTTCCGGGCAGTGCGTTTCAACAACATCTGTTATGAAACCATGAAAGGAATTATTAATATAACTATAATATAAGTCTTGACATTATAGAGATTATATTGACTGCCACAAACACTATAATAACATAATAAAGCAAGAAAGTATTGAAATAAAATAAATATTAAGTATAAATGTTCAAGCTTTCCTAGACTCCCCAATAAAGTAAGTTTCTGTACTAAGGTATTTGAAGCATGTGGTATTGAAATAAAATGTTACAACCTATTCAAACATGTAATGTATCGCTATCTAATCTGAAGATCCTAATATCAAAATGTCCTATTTAAAACCTAGATGAGGACCTCCTAGCAAGTCACCATGTGTACATAGTAGCTACTTGAAAACTTGTCATGAGCATATGCCACAAGTGACAACGACAAAAGGATGAATGTGACAGAAGAGGTAAAAAATAAATAAAAGAGAACAACGTCACATAGGAATTGAAATAAGAGAATATACACATACCATGACCATGAACACCACTAATGATAAAATAAAAGGAAAGTCTCAAGTTACATGTTTTGGCATATTTGAAGCAGGTTAGTTTTCTTTATATTCTTATTTACGTTTGAGAATAGAGGGAAAAGCAAGTAATGAACTGACCATATGCCACAGGTTCAGCTTCAAAAATAAAATAAAAAAATCTTCACAATCGTAATCATAAATCATAAAAACACTGTTGTATGTTCCCTCTTATTAGAAGAGATGTTCTCAAAATCAATCATGTCTTAGAGAAAGTATGAAGAAAAAGAAAGCAAAAGCTCAAGGCAAATACTTTTATATTCAATAGTAATATATTTTTTGTAGACATGTAATAATACATGCTTATATGGTCTTTTTATATAGATTATTTTCTCGTCCCCACTGAGGCATATATTTTACCTATAGCAGAAGTATGTAAACATTGTGATGCAATAAGATTTCATCGTGAACCTAAAGGCTTTTGTTGTTATGTAGGACAAGTCTTATTAGCTACCAATGAAGTTCCAGATGAACTCTTATCAATTATACACTCCAAGTTCAAACGATCTCTATTATCTCATAAATATGATCATACTTATAATTACGCATTTGCATTAAAGTTATTTGGTGTCTGATATGAGAAGAACCTATGCAAATGTAACAAAGGGATTTACACCTTATAAAAAAACTTAGAATATTGAAAAGAACAGAATTTTACTATATAATTATAAATAACAAAAAATGTTCCTCCAATTTATAATAAAATTGTCACTAATATTATTTCTCAAAGACTTCATTAACATATACGAAGAAAAGTTTCCGCAATAAAAATTATCACAGTTTTATTTGTCCATTTAATTAATTGTCCGCAACTATATAAGTTATTGAGCCTACTTCTTCTGTTGCTGTGGATACTTCTGCTTATTCAAGCCCACTTCTTTTCCCACCAGTTCAATCCAACATCAAACTCATGGAAACCCAAACTACTCGTATACCCCTGCTCTTTAAACCAAATTCATATTTCCATTTAAAACACGATTAGACTTCTTAAAACTAAATTCTTTAGACCACTCAAAACGCAATCGAAATTACTTTTCTTTGTGCCCACTTAAAACTGATGAAAACCTCTCTTTATATCCACCCATCTGAAGCACCTTTTTGAGCTCAGTAAAGCCTGAATAGCGTGAAATTATCGAAACCTATATGTCAAAGAAATGTCACATTGGACACGAGCAAGACATGTAATAGACTCTTAACATTTCATGGTAAGCAATGCTAAAATTTGGTACGAACAACAGAAAACAAGATAAGTAGTTTTACAGCTACATTAATTGACATGGAAATCAAAAGCATAACAGAATTTGGAAAAATTACCCAGGATTTATGAAGGTCAAACAAAAGATAGCCTATGTTTAAAGCAATGTAAAAGGATGCACATTGAACCCAGGATTTATGAAGGTCAAACAAAAGATAGCCTATGTTTAAAGCAATGTAAAAGGATGCACATTGATTGACATGGGAATCAAAAGCATAACAGAATTTGGAAGAATAACCCAGGATTTATGAAGGTCAAATAAAAGAAAGCTAATGTTGAAAGCAATGCAAAAGAATGCACAGTACATCCAGTAGAAAATACTACTATCATTTATGAGGTGCCTGGCATGTAAATATGCAAAAGGAAGACACATCCATGTATCAGTCAAAATGATTGTCCAGTATAAAAATAATCAAATGAAACAAAAGAAATTATAAATAGCAACGTTGCATACTGGGATTATCTAACATTACAAGTTCTTGGTTTCTTCACTAATTTCCTATTTTCAGACTTTTTTAGAACTGAACAAAAAATCAATCAATACCAACTAAATGTTTTATTTTATAATTCACTATGCAATATTTTTCTTCACAAGTATAAAACTCTCATAACTGAAGATGGTAGGGCCTCTCATCAGTTTTCAAGAAAATAGAAAAAATATACCTTTGGAACCTAGATATGCAAACGACAAACTGATCAAGCAAACACAAGATGCTTATCCAGATACAATCAAATAATACTTCAAAAAATCCCATATAAACCCAAAACCCATAAAGAATCCGTATCCCAAATGATCAGATTCCCAATGTATTTCCACTAATACTCTGTTCTTCCAAATACAAAATTCATGTAAAACAAAGAAAGATTAGATTTTTTTTCCTATTTGTTGATCACCTATTAATCTAAATCCCTGCAACAGAACAACTAAAGCCCGAAACTTTGTAATCCTAACCTCATCAACATGCTAAAATAATAGCAAGCAGTCATTTTAGACCAAAAACCCACATCAAAATAAAATTTATGCAATATACAAGAAATGTAATATACAAGATATAAGGATAATTCACAATGAACCACTCATCATGTTCTTCTGTGATCATTTTTTTAACGTATTTACATTATAATACAATTACTAAGAGGTATATGTTTTGTTATCAATATATCCGTTTGTTTTCATATCGTATTTAGCATTAAATCCTTTCGCGTTTTGCAGATATATATTTGGAAACAGGAGTAGCAGAAAGTACAATACGAAATTCATATTTCCATTTAAAACACGATTAGACTTCTTAAAACTAAATTCTTTAGACCGCTCAAAACGCAATCGAAATTACTTTTCTTTGTGCCCACTTAAAACTGATGAAAACCTCTCTTTACAAGTTCTTGGTTTCTTCACTAATTTCCTCTTTTCAGACTTTTTTAGAACTGAATCAAAAATCAATCAATACCAACTAAATGTTTTATTTTATAATTCACTATGATCATTCCAGCACTGGTTGCGTAGGATAATGATCTTAAAACCCTCCACAGCTCATAATTTTGCATTTCATCATCTGTTACAAGAGTTAAAAAGGAAAAGATTTGAAACTTTAACTAAGTCAATAATGATTTAATCACCCAAACAAATTAAGAATATGTAATTAACCAAATAAATTAAGAATATATAAATTGGAACAAGAAACAAACAATTATCCTCTTTTATAAGCTAGTACTGCAAACGAACTACATTCTATATATCTTGTGCAGAGTAGATAAATATTCATACTCAGTTCAAGTATCAATGTTAATGATCTTAAATTGTTCATATCCATGTGCATCAGTCACCAAATACAAGCAGGTCATTAGCAACAATAGAAGAAGTAATAAACATAAAATAGCACATCCGTCCAACTCATTCCTGATATGCTTGCTCAAACAACCTTGCCTAGTTCAAGTAACAAGGAAGTGATATCCCTCAGAACTAAACAAATCCATGAAATTTTTAATTTGATCTGCAATGTTATTTTTGTCATTCGGAATAAAATTATTGTGACTCTGGTTTTTTTTAAGTCAACCAAGGCAGTCTGTTAATGTTATTCTGAAGTTTGAATTTGTTTGACTACTAAAGGGTTAGCTAATGGAGTAAAAGTCTGGGAGTCTAAAGAACGCATCAGATGGATGTGTAGGGTGACGTGAGTGTTAGGATGTTGGAGATGATGCTATAAAAGTCATACTACAAGCACCATATTATAAGAAATATAGTTCCTATATGATATAGAACTACATGAACAAATAAAAAATTGAATATCAACAAATAACAACACCATATTATGTTAAAACAACAAAATGTGAAAATATTCCTAAACTAAAATTTTATGCATTCGTCCCAGTTGTGATCTAAATTAAAAAAAAGCATCAAAGTAATAATTAGACTTTTATGCAGGCTGAGAAAATTTCTCCTTACACGCTCTGAAGGAAACCAAAGTATCTTTACTCTCCACTCAAAAACTAACAGAAAGTTTAACTCGGAAGGGGGAGGAACAAGCTCACATGTCTATCATAAATCAAAGTAAATTCAATGACTTCAGCTAATTGCAGAAAACACTTAACAGAACATAGTGGGGGTAAGCGCAATGCATATATCAAATTATTCAAATCAAAAAAATGAAGTTAACCCATAAACAATAGCAGTTTAATAATATTCAACAGATATCCCCAAAAATACGTTAAAAATGCTAGAATTGTAAGAGAAAAATCATAGAGATAGAGATAAAATAAAAAATAAAAAATAAAAAATTTACCTTGAGAACTTTCTACTCCGCCAATAAAACTCTGACACCTAACATCAATAATCAACAATCAATCAATACCAAAAATAAAGTTAATCCATCAAACAATCAAACAGAGATTATGAATAAGAAATTACAAGAAGGTAATAAGAGTAACCAATATCCATACTTACAATTGGAGAAAAAAAACCTTTCGTTGTTCCATCAAAATTGAAGCATAAGGTATTTATAGCAGCATAAAACGGAAGGGGAGAGCAGGTGAGAGGTAGAGGGAAACTGACGAGGAGTCCGAACGTCGAGGGGCAGGGGAAAGCACAGATAAATAAAGAAGGTAATAAAGGGTTTTGGGCGTTAATCAAAGATTTAGGGAGAGGGGAAGGGGAGAGATCGGATCGATTTGGGCGTTATCAAAGAGTGAGGGAGAGGGGCAGGGGAGGGGTCGGATAAGGAAGGGGATGATTAATTGCGTTATCAAAGAGGACGGGGTAAATAAAGGGATAATATATATACGTATAGGATATAGGATAAAATTAGAAATATAAAATTTGATGAGGGCAAATTGGGTATGGAAAAGTTTTGACAAAGGTTTTCTCTTTTATAAGTAGTATAGATTTTGAGAATTTTTTTTTTTTTTATAAAATTGTGCAACCAAACACTCCCTTATTGAGGGAAGGAGGGGGAAGGGAGGTAATGGACAAAGTGTCCATACCTTTAAAATTACAAATTTTCTTTCATCAACTATGAAATGGGAAAATTTCCCATATTCAATTTCTCGTAGGAATTTAGAGATCTAGGCATCACTACTAGTTAACAATATAATGTACCCTTATGACCTATTTATAGCAGCAGAAGATGTGCGTTGGGCATATAACTTTTTGCTCTTAGTTTTCGACTGATGGCTATTAGAAGTAGACAAAATGTTAATTGCAATGAATATCATATTTCTGTATAAACCAGACTGTATCCATTTTGATACTTCTTTTGCTTCAAGTTTATTTCCATAATGCAGAATATAGTATCATTAACAGGATATTGATCAAGCAGTTGCATGAAATTGATCAGTATCCTATTAATTACAACCACCTTTGTGTAAGGGCTTGTTTGGATGGAGGGTAGAGAGGGGGAAGGGAAGGGAAGGGAAGGGAAATTTCATTTTAACCTTGTTTGGGAGTTTCATTTTGGAGGGTAGAGGAGGGGAATGGAGGGGAAATTTGGCCCAAATTCTTACACCCCAAATTGGGGTGTAATGGAGGGGAAGGGAAGGAAGGGGAAAAATTCCCCTTCCTTCCCCTTCCTTCCCTTCCCTAAGTAAACTCCCAAACACACCATAAAGCTGTTTCCTGATAAAGGCATCACATCACTATCTCTTAAGAGTGAATTCAGCTTTTCTATTCAATCATAATAAAAGAGTAGAGGTGACAATTTATGATCCGATCCGATTCGTTTATAATGAGTATGAATTAAATTATATAGATCGGATCATAAACAGGTCAACCCAAAATTTACCCATTCATTAGATACGTCATTTCGGCGGGTTGACCGGACTAACCCATATATCACAAACACTGACAGCGAGCGAAACCAAAACCCAAACCCTAAAATCCCATGGCTCCTCCCCACCCCGAATCCGAATCCTCCTCCCGATCCAACCCGAGCCCACCTCCGCCTCTGAAACCGCCTACGAGCCCATCGAAAAGATCACCATCGCCGACGACGAGTCCGACTCCGACGTCGCCCCTCCCTTCTCGTGGAAAAAGCTATGGCTTTTCACCGGCCCAGGGTTCCTAATGAGCATTGCCTTCCTCGACCCAGGCAACCTCGAGGGCGATCTCCAGGCCGAGGCGATCGCGGGTTACTCTCTGCTCTGGATGCTGATGTGGGCGACGGCGATTGGGCTTTTGATCCAGATGCTGTCGGCGAGGTTCAAGCGGCGAGCGGCGGAGATTATACGAAATTGACTTCAAAGTGTGCTCAACTCAGCAATGAAACGAAGAGTAGCAGCTACAAATGCAAGCCCTCTGTGATCCAAAATCTCTCTTCCAACCTCTCCTTCCTTTTCCCAAAATGGGTCTTTTCTCTTCAACTCTAGAACGCTGAAAAAAGGAAGAAATAGGAAAGACCGTAGCCATGTCAATAGCTGCAATCACGAACCCATCTCAATGCTCATGTCCTCCTCTCCCAAGATACAACCCATCACCAAGCAAAACCATTCACTTATAAGCTTCTCAGCTAAAGGCTCTTTAGCTTTTGTTTCGAGTATTCAGTTGTCGAAGAGGTGGGAATTTGTAGCCAGGGCATCTTCGGCTACTGACTCTGAGTCATCGAAATCAGAAGGTGAAGGAGGAGGAGGAGGAGGAGGAGGAGGAAGAGAGTTGAAGTTTGAAGAGTATGAGGTGGAAATAGAGAAGCCTTATGGATTGAAGTTTGCAAAGGGAAGAGATGGAAGCACTTACATTGATGCAATTTTTCCTGGAGGAGCAGCTGATAAGGCCGGGGTTTTCAGTGTCGGAGATAAAAGTAATTGCTGCCAGGTTTGATTGGAAATGATTATTGTTGTTATTATTATTATTCCGTTTTTCTAGTTTATGGTCTTCCAAAGTTCTCACTGTAACAATTTTTGCTGGGTTTTTTCTTCTTCAATTTTTTGTCTAGTATTTCTTTCATGTAATCTGCAATGAGTTAAAAGAGAATTTTTACATTGCAGTCAATATGAGCTATAATTTTATTGCTCTCTCTATGCCAATTTCACTGATCCCCCCAGTACATTATTCTTCATTTGGTGTGTGTGAATTTTCAGGTACTTATAAGGGTTATATGGGTCGGGTTGGGTAACCCGTTTAATAAATTGGTCAGATAGCATTGACCCATTTATTAAACGGGTCTGGTCACACTTATACAGGTCGGGTCAACTATGACCTGACCTGACCCATTTGCCACCCCTAATAAGGAGTGCCTATCTTTCTACTCCTATTCCAACTGGAACTCTGGGCTTAATAAATCACTTCAAATCTCCAACTTCATAGATCAAATTTCTTGGAAGTTGAGGGCCAATTCTTTCATGAATTGCCTTTATGGTTCTGTATGCATACGAGCAACTCAAAAGGGTTCCCAATTGTTCTTCATTTGTCAATCTTAACTTCTTTCAAACAACATACAAAGAATAATGACTCAATAACTACCTCATGATTATCCAGCATATGGATGAGGTGAGCGGAAAGGATAAAATGAGGGGTAAGAAAGAGCGATGATGCGAAGTTATATCTGATATCATACCCTTACAGGAATCAGTATCCTGGACTTAGCCTATATCTGACAACTGCAGCTTGATGGCCTTACAGGCAGGAGTATATTGGACTTAGCGTGAAGAGGAACTTGGTCTTAGACTGACCGCGTTCAGATCCATTAACATCCCAGATCAAAGTAGTATCTCATTTTATTTCCTCATAATATAGATATGATCTAACTAGTCATTTACTTTTTTTGGAGAAAGAGGAGAAAATAAAGCAAATCATCTGGAACTGTATTTTGATCCACTGTATTCAATATTAGTCTTGACAAAAAAACATTGCTTGATTTATAAAAATAATAAATTCTTGTTGCTGGATTTTTTTTACCAGTGATGTACATGGTTTCTCCTATTTACCAGACAAAATATGTGTGTGTAGAGAGAGAGGAGGAAGTTTCTGAAGGGAGGGAGGGAGAGCCTCTAATCTCATTGTGTTAGGAAACTCTGAACTTCTGATTCCTTTTGTCTTCTGTATAAACTCAAAGTATGAGTCCTGGAGGTAAGCTTCGTACTTTCTAGTTGTGAAGTGATCATCATGATTGAGGGGTTTTTTGTCGTTCTTTTTCTTCATTTCAGCAGTTTCAGTTGTATCGGTTCGCAGGCATGTTGTTGTCTTCATCATATTGTTGTCGCCGTGCTCGTCATTGTGCCCTCTGTATCTTCTCTTTACAAACTTAGATTGCCCAAAGGATGTATTAAAACTCGTACTATATGAAGGTGAACGAACCGTTGGAATTGTTCTTGATGCATGTGTTAGTATCTGAGGGAGGGTTTAGATTATCGGTATTGCCACTGAACAGGTTTTGTGTTAGAGAGCATGGATGAGTTTCACTGTCATCGTATCTTGAGCTAGGAGCTTGTGTCACAGAGCGTTGATAAGATGGGGTACTGATAGATCTTGAGATAGGAGTTGGTGTCTGCGAGCGGTAAGGAGAAACATTGGATCTTGAGACTGGAGTTGGTGTTTTAGAGCGTCGGCTTGATGCATCAGATCTTGAGATTGGGTTTGGTTTTTGGAATTGTTGATGGTATGCACTGTCACTTTGCATGTCTTCTTCCAACAATTTCAGTACTTGCAATTAGTAACTTGTTAAGAAACTGGATAGCTTATTGGCTGCATAATTGAACAAAAATCGCAGTCCCTTGAGAAGCTTTATTGCTTATATTTGCATTTTGATAGAAGTCCCAAATCCACATTAGTTTCGAGTCGTTGCTGAGTTTTAAGGTAAACGAGTTGTTTACAGTAAATGACCTGGTTGCTAAATGGATGCCAAAAATCCAAGGAAAGTTCTTATCGTATCAACATTTGGTTTTAAAAAAATGCAAGAAAGTGTGAGAATGATTTATGGTACACACCTGTGACATGCGAGGCCTCATTTCTGGGTCGGGTAAGATACAACAACCGGCAACGTGCATCATGAGCTTTATTTCCCTCTCTTCATAGTTCCCATTCAACCGTGGATCAACCAACTCATGCGTTCTCATCTCCTGTATTAGTGAAAGTAGGCTATAATCTCAACTTTGAACAAAGTGTATAGACATTTACTTTCTTTTGTTACCAACTGTTAGGAGTTAAGGTTATTTACAAGCTAATAGGAAACTGAGAAAACTCTTATTTTGTATTAGTCGATGAAACGGAATCTGATATTTAGGTTAAATCAATCGAGTCCAATATTTTCAAATGATATAAATCACTGTATTTGAAATTGAAAGAGATTATTTAGTCACATTTTAATGTCTCAATCGACTATTTGGTGACACTACAGTTACATATTTTATTGGAAACTATTGACATATGAATTATAATTTAGATTTATGATGCCTCTTGGTAAGTGATTATATTTGTTGAACCTCTAGAGAAACAGTGGGTTGATCCACGCAGAAAACTGTTGGGTTTGTGATTAAATGGATCCCTGCTTATGACGGTTAGTGGACCGTGAGTATATACTGCTGCAATTTGAAGTATCTCCAGCTATGTAATCCTTTAGCTCATCTTAACATGGTCCCGGTATTTGAGAATTGCTATTACGTCACAGCAATTTTTTTTTAAGTATTAATGTGATAACTTACCCATTGGAGTTGATGTAGCTTCTCATGTCTCATTAAATCAATAATCTTTAAACCACGTATGAGCTCTATCAATAACAATCCAAATGCATATACATCAGCTTTCTCTGTAATCCGCCCTGTTTGAGAATACTCAGGTGCCAAATACCTGCACAAGTGAAGATTACATATTGTTAGGAGAATTTACCAAAGGAGAACAAAAGAAACGATTCATAATCTGGTTCCTTACCTTCAGACTTTTAGAGTAAGGTCATGATAGTTATTTTGAATTTTGACTTCTTGATTATTCTTTGATTCTCTTCTTAATGTGAGAAGCGAATATCTTAACAGAAAATTAATGTACAGCGAGAATCATATACCCACGTAAACAGATTAATGATATATCAGAATTTGGAAAGTGAAAATTATTTATGGCATGTGAAATTTTTTTAACTATCGTTTCTTTTGTTCACGTTTGTTCAAGTTAAAATTATTTAACTAAGTACTTCTTTGACATCTGTTCAAGATTTTGCTATTTTAATTATCTCGGTTAACATTATGCACAATGAGGATAGGAACTATTAAAATTTGGTACAACTTATGTTGTGTTTTTCCCTCCTGTTTTTATGTCTACTTTCTCATCCCTTTCTTAACTCCCACCTTGTTTTTTGCATCTTGATTGTCTCTGTACTAATGGAATCTTTTTTATACCTAGTTCATATATGGATATCCTTAGTGCTGAACTGTCATTAGGGTGAGTTAATTTTACTGTGCAGGAAAACGATACTCATTTGCCCTGAGTTAACTTAGTGAACCAAGCATCACTAGAATCCTGTGGAAATACCTGGAACACTACTTTCGACTAAAAGAACCTCATTGTCTTTCTTCATTAAGTTGAAAGGACTTAATTCAGAAAGATAAGTTTCTGATGGCAGAATCTTAGCTACATGTATAAACCAACAGCTTCGTGGAGAGGAAGCTGCCAAAGTTGTAGTTCATTATATTTCCAGAGTCTCTACCTTAAAGAACCTCTACTCCACACTGGATTGAGTCACTTCATGAAACCTTGAAGTTAAATGATGAACTTGGGCGCCTAAAACAGTTACAAATCAAGGCTCTGAAAATAGAGCATCAAATATTTGACTTCATACAGAGATGATATAAATTCTGGAAGATTCATGGTGAATATAGGTATATGTCCATTACTGAAATAATCTTACCCTATTGCTCCAACTATGCACGTCTCTTCAGCCGTCTGACCATCTGTTTGCCACCTTGCTAAGCCAAGATCTCCAACCTATGAATACATTGAACAAAAATTGAATAAAAAATTTTAGTGCAATTTTTGAGTGAGATAGTAGACTAAACGAGCAATGATATAAAGAAGCAAAATCTTATTAATGAGAGGTGAAATAACCACGGGCTCAAAATCATGAGTAAGAAGAATGTTCTTAGGTCTGAGGTCTCGATGTACGATACAACCGACACGACAGTCTTCATGAAGATATCGTAGACCTCTTGCTGCTCCGATGGCTACCTTCTGTCTCTGATGCCATGTCATCACCTTTTTTTCATCCTTCGCTACGATTATGTTTGAAACAATGTTAGCTACAAACTATGACTATCAGTTTTGCGATCATGTAATTTTAGATGTTAGTCCCCTAAATCTTTAACATTATGATATTAGTTCCTCAAATCATTGAAATTGCTGTGGGTCCCCTAATTCTTAAGTTATTTTGAAGTTAGTCCCTAGGTTAGCTTCCTGTCCTCAGATCCATGAAAACTACTGTATGAAATTCTTAAATTCTATACTGATGCTTAGTTTCTTCTTGTTAGAAGAGTCCCTCACAAGCTATGATCAGGGTACAAGTGTAGCTGAATATCAAGAAATGTGATTATCAGTACTAAAAGGACACTTGAATTTTAATCTCATCCATAATTCTCTGCAACACCTCAACGCTCTTGTTAGATTTAGATAACAGTGCCTATATAAAGAATGAACCACTACTGCTTCAGTTGGCTTTTGGAATCTTTTGAAAAACAAAATGATGGTCCAAAGGAGCAGTGAGTTGTATATGCCTACTTGTAGGAAATATGTATCAATTTGTCAACCAAATATCCACGATGCCAACTCCCACAGAGGAAAGCATAAACTGCTTTTGTTGTAAAACTAGTGCTTGGACAAGTGCAAACCCCAAAGTTTCTCATAGATTCCTTGTAGTATTGCTGTTTTGAATACCCCCTAGTTTTCTTTTTTCAGAAAGACCCTCTGAGATTAAAAAAAACCTTTTTTTTAACCCTCACGGTTCTATTTCCCAAAAACAAAATTCTCTTTCTCTGAGGATGAAAGAGTAAAAAAATTCACTGAGGAGGTCTATATACAAAAGTAACACTAGAGGGGTAATCAGTTCAAAACTGTGATACTACAGGGGGTTTGTCCTCAATTAACCCTTCACAAATATGAAGTTTGAAGAGAATAGAGATAGGAGAAGTGAGAAGATTTTGAGGAACCTTACAATGTAAATGCTCGTCCAATGATCCATTGCAAGCAAACTCATAAACCAGCAACCATTCCTGCCCCTCGACACAATAACCCACTAGCATCACCAAATTCTTGTGCTGCGCGCAGCTCAACACCTCCACCTCTGAACAGAACTCCGATGCACCCTGTGCACTTGCCTTCTTGTGCTTCTTCACTGCGATGACCTGTCCATCCTCCAAAACTCCTTTATGCACCGGTCCAAACCCTCCCTCTGATAGAAAACTATCTTCCGAGAATCCATTCGTAGCTCTCTCCATTTCCTTGTAAGTGAACTTATGTGGTGGTTTTCCGAAAATCGGTGCCTTGTGTTTGCAAACTGAGCAGAGCGGAGGTGGTTTTCTGGGTT